ACAATCTCACTGCTGTCCGAGAGAGTTCCTTCTCTGACATCAGCCTGAAGCCCGGCGAACTTAGCCATGACCTTAATTAGTCGATCTCCGTCAGTTGGGAGAGGATACGACGTCAGGTCGGTAGCTACTTGATCAGGCATATCGATCAGGACAGAAGGGAGTCTCGTCTTCTTTTGTAGGCAACCGAGGAGCTGAAGGGGTCATTAGCCAGGTTCTATATAAGAGACTTGGATAAGACGCACCACCTCATTACGGAGGGCTTGAAACATCCAGAACCCGCCTTCGCGCCGAAGCTGATCTCTGCCGCGGAGTTCAAGGACAGTTGCCACCCCCTGTGAGTGTTCGATCCAGGATTGCAGGCTCTCATTTCTCTGGCAAGCAATAATCTTAATAAACCAGTCAGCCATATGCTCTGTAAATGGTCGCAGACAACTCACCTCGAACAATGATAAGCAAACGATTGCGGTTAGCGTGGTATCTGCTGTAACCAGTTTCGGATCGCATAAAGCCGAGTTCGTCAGCTGCAGAGCCTTAGTATACTCGCGCCGAGCCGACAACCGCATTGACGAGGACCTCTGCATACTAGCAAGGTTCGCTAAGCCCACGGATGCAATGCTAGCCATCATAGCTTTCTGGCCAAGGGACTCAGCGGAACCGGCACCATGTTTAAATGAGGTTTCCACCGTATTAGAAGCATTGAACCACGTGTATGTGTTCAAGAAAAAGCATGTGGCTTGGAAGGTATGATCCAACGCAAAGTTAACTATCGCTAGGGGGAACCGCAGAGGGTAGTGTCCAGGATTTACTTCCTGGGAGGTGTTTCGTCTTGCTAGCGACAGAACCTTCGGTTCTGTGGAGGAAGATTCTGTGTCTAAATTGGCAGATCTCTTCACTCTTCGGGCTACTGCATCGCTCTCGTCTCTAAACCATACCGAGTGCGGGTCTCGATAGCCGGAACAAGTCCGCCTTGCTTTTCTACAACGACCGCAGACTGGTCTAGCTTCATCGCACTAGGAGCAGTGATTAGATCCGATGGAATGGGTGAAAGGTGCCGGTGTTTTCGATACGATGATAGGATGGTAGATCATAGACAAAGCCATACTACTTACTTTGACTCTCCTCGCACGACACGTACCACACCCTCCGCTTGGTTTGCCCATCACGAGTGAGGAGCCGCATGTAGACTGGGACGGTCGTATCACACGCAATGCCTAAATATCGTAATAGAGTGGTATAGCAAGGTTGACATATTGCGGCCCCAACACGTAGGTCCTTTCCAAACTGAGCTTCGGGGCGCAAGATAGATAGATGAGGTTCGTATTGAGGGATCACCAAACGCCACGAGTCCAGCGAAGCCCCAGTCCGGTGGGGTTGGTCTAGCCGCATTCGGAAAGCAGGGCGAGCAACAGTGTGTTCTGATTGGTCCTGATGTCCGTCCACGATATCGTCGTTGAAATATCCATCAAGTCTGCTCCATCTGGCCTTCATTATGGCCTTTGGTTGGGCAGAACTATATGGCTAAGCATAGCCTCGAGCTCCCGATAGCCGCTTGTTTGAGGTATATGCCAGGGAAGCACAGCCTTGTGGGTGCAAGTATGGTACCGTGAAGAAAATGTGTGATCCTGCTAGGATTATAGAGGTCTTCAAGGGGAATAATAGTTGCCTGGAAATGTTATATAACTTGTCTCCCCTTTGTCGACATTCCAATGAAGCAGGACTGTTCTGAAGTCAACATTTCTCCTCTCCTACTCCATAAGAGACACTGACTCGTTATTCGTCTCTCTATCACAATCATGGCCGTCAATTATCGACATGGTCTTTCCATTTTGGAATTGATTGTATACTTCCCATCCCTATTCATCTCGTTGTACATGGGCTTCCGCCATGGCTTCCAGAGAAACGCTGGCTGGGTTCTCTTGATAATCTTCTCCTTGGCCCGCATTGTTGGTTCGTGCTGCTACCTGGCCACGATAGCCCACCCTGAGACCATCGACCTTTATATCGCATGGGGAGTTTGCACTTCCATCGGACTCGCCCCTCTGATTTCCACTTGCATCGGTCTCTTGTCCCGAGTGTACCTACCCATATCTCCCTTTCCAGAATTGTCAAGTTACTAACTAGTTCCTCGTACTCCAGTAACGATTCCATCCAACGAAAAAGCGGACGAGGCCTCCTTCCAGCCTTCTTCAGATTAGTCGGTCTCCTCACACTGGCGGGCATGGTTCTTTGTATTGTTGGTGCAAGCAACAGCTCGAGCCTTCAGGGAATCACGAACAGTACAGAAGCCAAAGTTGGCGACGTTCTATACCTCATCGCATGGGCCTGTCTCTGTGCCCTGCTACTCGTCGTCGGAAGCAAGTATAGAAGCATTGAGGATGGCGAACATCGCTTGGTTTTGGCAGTCGGAATCTCAGTTCCGTTGCTTCTCGTGCGCCTCATATACTCCCTGTTATCTGTATTCACGCATAACCCCACGTTCAACATGTTGACCGGAAACGTCACTGTCTTCCTGGTCATGGCTGTTTTGGAGGAGATTGTGATTGTTGTGATCTGTCTGGGTGTCGGAATGACTCTGGAAGTCCGTCAACGCACGACAGAATATGAGGCCTGCGAGGCACCGGCTCAGGGAGGTCCCGCGCTCGAGCCTCAGCAGAGTCCTGAGATGATGTCGTACAACTCCGGAAAGCAAGAACGGAGGAGAAAGAAGAGACGCGGTGGACCTATTAGCCAGCTTATTGGATTGGCCATCGATGCGATCAGGTCTAGGAGGCAGTGAGGTTTCTTTGGTATTGCGTTGCTGTTTGATGATATATATTTAAGTCGGGTGATGATATTTTGGAGGAATAAAACCTTTTGATACTATTGTTTTAATGACATGTCAGTGGCATAGACATATATTCCCTCTTTTCTGAGGCTCGCATTGCCTCGGCACAGTAAGTCAGGTCCATACTAATATATAGGTGGTTAGTAGAACACTAGTCATTGATTGCATGCACTCAGTCGCTCTATACGAGCCATTAACGTAATGAACAGCATGCTGGAGCCATATATGTAGCAACAGACCATCAATGCTGAAGAGTCAATGGAAGTGCCAGACAGCCTGCCAGTATGGATATAGATAGCTGTATCCCTATCGAGCAATAGGAACAACCATACTCGCTTAGGCTAGCGTTACATCACATGACCGAAAGCTTAAGCGAAAAGACCAATTTTCCTCCCAATTTTCTCTCACCCGCCGTTTCCCCCTTCCTTTACAGTCACTCAACCTGCCTTCAACCCTCAGCCATAGGGGTTTGGGAATATTATGAACGATTCCTTCCCATGTCTTTGGCTTGAAGCATCTACATTCACTGTAGAAGAATGACTGCAGAATGTTTGCAGCATCATTCAGCTGTTTACTGTTTTCTGCCTTTTTCTTTTCTTGTTCTCGCTTTTATTTTCTCGTAGCACAACGAAAACCACACAGTGCGCTTCTAGCCTTTTCAATGGCGAAGAGGCATACTTTTTTTTCAAGTTCGTTCAGTGGAAGATCAAAACCAAACAGTTTTTAGCAGAGCTGCGTCTACTCCACCCTGGTGTTCGCTTTTATCGGACGGCAGGACTATTTTTACGACGGACATCCTGAGATTTATCTCTACCTTTGTATTTGTAGCTGTGCATATGCGGTGTGCGGTACGTAGATCTGGGAGGCCGGAATGGGTGTTTCTTCGTTTGTACGGAAAGCATTCCGATCAAGAAGTGGACATGTTCCGGTGCTACTGAAACGGGTGCTTTGCGCCCTCTGGAAGTACGAGCCAGTTAACGCCCCTTGCATCTGGCGCTCCTTGTCCCATCTGTCTGGGGATGATTATTGCTGTAGCTTTGGGATCAATCAAAGAGGAGCTGAAGCTATGGTTGACGACCGAGCATGCTGGTTTTTGCGGTCGCCAACGTGCCCGACTACATTGGAGGCTAAGCTACCATAGCAACTGATAATGATAAGCATCAAGGCCTAGTTGTTTATCAGAAGCGGAGTTTGTAAGAGAGCTCAGTTCAGCAGACTTCTAGAATGGTTCTGAAGGGCTGATAGCAGTTATCATGAGAGCCAGACCCCAGAGCTGAGTAATGGGAAGATTCTGGACGGATAAAAGTTTAGTAATAGGAACCAGTTGAAGGGAGAAGGCAGTGGGTGGCCCGGAAGTTACCGCGGCTCAAGAGAGCAAAGAGCAGGTGAGACCAGCGAGTCTCTGCCAAAGAGAATGTTCCTGTTAATAATATGGCAACGGACCCGCCCGCGGACCCAGAAACGAGCGATAGACTAGTCGCATCGGTTATGATCGTTGCATGGAGATGGGCTGCTGCCCCTCCTGAGAGCTCTGAACTTGGGACCTCTCAACTCTCAACTCAACACGCAAATCACCGTCAATCGACCAGACAATGGCTCTGTCAATCAATGCTCTGTGGCACTCTGTAGGAATCAAAAACGCGTAGACTGAGATTGGAGCCATGGGTCGGGAAAAGGGCCATCTTGCCACGGACAGGTCCAATTGCCGGAGATCGGGTCACCCAATTCTGGTCTCCTCACTCACAACCAACTCCAAGTGGCAGTTGCCCGCGGACTAAAAAGATTCACGGCACCAGAAATGCGGAGAGTGACTTGCTGACTCAAAAGATTCGGCCCAGAGCTCGTCAATCTGCGTGTTGCCATTGGTGCGCCGTGCCTGGACAACGGACTCGGCATAATACTAAGTCGTTGTGGAGGAAGTCGCTGGAAGTGCTGAGGAGAACATTCGCAGCCTATTAGTATCCCTGTCTTCGTCTCCTCTTCTGTCTTTCTCTCCCTCTCTCTTTCTTCCCTTCTCCTCCCTCCTCTTCCCTCCTACTTTACTATTCTGTCCTTCCTCTTCTCTCCCGTCTTACACCCGAGGTAATCCATCTGTCCCAGGGTTTCTTCATCCATCCTCCGTGTACATCCAATTCACCCCTGAGCATTCGTCTCCTTCCCTTTACATTTCTTCACAATGGCATCGGCTGCTAGAACGGCTTCCCGGGCCTTCCTTCGCTCGACCCCCGCTACCTCTTCCTTCAGACCTGCTGCTCGCAGTGCTCGCTTTGCCCTCCCTTCTCAGGGCTTCCGTGCTGCCTCTCGCCGCGGCTATGCCTCTGAGGCTGGCGAGGCCAAGTCCTCCAACAGCCTCCTCTGGGCTGGTATTGCCGCTGCTGGTGGTGTTGGCGCCTACTTCTACCTGAAGGGTGGTGATGCCTCCGTCAGCTCCAAGGAGTTTGTCCCCACCAAGGAGGACTACCAGAAGGTGTACGATGCCGTTGCTCAGCGTCTCGCCAACGAGACCGACTATGATGATGGCAGCTATGGTCCCGTAAGTGACAGTCACCATCTGATGAGCTTGAGCCATTGAGTACGTGGGAAGCTGACCCTTGTTGTTGAATAGGTTCTTGTCCGTCTGGCATGGCACGCAAGCGGTACCTACGACAAAGAGACTGGCACTGGTGGAAGCAACGGTGCCACCATGAGATTTGCCCCCGAGTCCGACCACGGCGCCAACGCTGGTCTCAAGCACGCCAGAGACTTCTTGGAGCCCATCAAGGCCCAGTTCCCCTGGATCACCTACTCCGACCTCTGGACCCTGGCTGGTGCCTGTGCCATCCAGGAGCTCGGTGGCCCTGCCATCCCCTGGAGACCTGGCCGTCAGGACAAGGACGTTGCTGCTTGCACCCCTGATGGACGTCTCCCCGACGCCACCAAGGAGCAGTCGCACATCCGTGACATCTTCTACCGCATGGGATTCAACGACCAGGAGATCGTTGCCCTGGTTGGAGCTCACTCCCTTGGTCGCGCCCACACTGACCGCTCTGGCTTCGACGGTCCCTGGGACTTCAGCCCTACCGTCTTCACTAACGAGTTCTTCCGTCTGTTGGTTGAGGAGAAGTGGCAGCAGCGCAAGTGGAACGGCCCCAAGCAGTTCACTGACAAGACCACTGGTACCCTGATGATGATGCCCGCTGATCTTGCCCTGACCAAGGACAAGGCGTTCCGCAAGTACGTCGAGCTCTATGCTAAGGACAGCGACCTCTTCTTCAAGGACTTCTCCAATGTGTTCGTCAAGCTCCTTGAGCTTGGTGTCCCCTTCAAGACTGAGGACCGCTATGTCTTCAAGACCTCCGAGTAAACACTCTCCAGGTCTTTGTGAATATTCTGGGTTCTGTTTGTTTCAGGGTTTTAGCTGCGGAGCATTGTTTTCTCTTGTTCACATTTTGATATCCGACATGTTCTCGATCGATGTTCGACGACCATAGCATGCGTCTTAGACAGGCATGTCCTGCCGCGGGGCATTAAACCATACAGGGGTGGAAATATCTAGAAGATTAGATCAATAAACCATCCATTGAAGATTCAGATGATACCTTGTAATAATTGCCGTAGTACCTCATCAGCGAACGTGCTGCAGTATATATATCACCCCTAGTAGTTGAGCCGGCTGATTACCTACTATTGATCGCTCAACCCACAAGGCGTCCGCTCTCTTACCATCGATTGCAATGCAACAAAAGAATCTGTCCAACATTGCAATCACGTAGCACAATGTATGGTTGTTGTCACGCCGAGTCGGCATCACTCCGGAAGCGCACAACTTAGAAGTGGCGGCGGTGCGGAGCCGACGAGAAAGTCTTTCAATCTCCGAACTCCAACCGCCGCATCTTGAGCAACTGACCAACCTAGAGCCCACCAGAGCCTTCATCTCCTAAGATACAAAACAGACTGAATGGAACAATAACCACAGACCGAATCAATCTAATCCAGGGCGAATGAACCAACCCTCCTACCAATCCGCGCAAAAAACCATCTACATCTGCCGCACCGCAATACCCAACCCACCATGACCAGATCCAACCACCCCCTCACCCAAGACCACTACGAAGTCCTCAACCTCCCCTTCACAGAGACGCCAACGGCACTCTCCAAACAACAACTGAAAGCAGCTTATCACAAAGCCCTGCTAAAGCACCACCCGGACAAAGCGCCCGGCGCAATCGCAAAAGATGTCCAAACCAGCAGCAGCAGCAGCCTCCCTACATCAGACACAAACTCCTCCTCGCACACGACTTATCGCTACACAATAGACGAGATCACAACCGCATACAAAACACTATCTGATCCATATCTACGCGCTGAATACGATCGGTCGCTGCGACTCGATCGCGCAAGGGTCGCGGAACGGGAGAAGACAGGCACGGTTTTCCATACGGGGCTGGAGGTCGTTGATCTGGAGGATCTGGCGTGCGATGAGAGTGATGCGGACGCTGCGCTCTGGTATAGAGGGTGTCGGTGTGGAGATGAGAGGGGGTTTTTGGTCACGGAGCAGGATTTGGAGAGGGAGGCGGAACATGGGGAGATTGTTGTGGGTTGTCGGGGGTGTAGTTTGTGGATGAAGGTTTTGTTCGCTGTTGAGGATGGGGATGAGGAGGATACTTGAGCGATGCTGTGGGATATGTGTGATGTGTGATTGGTTTTGTCGCCTTAGGGCGTGGATGGATGGACTCTTCACTCGGGGTATACGCCTGGGATGCCTTTGGTCGCGATCGTTGTGACTAGCACTTGGCTGGCAGGGTATGGTGATGGTGCATCAGCCCATGAGTGGCATTGTGCGGTGCGCACTCTGTCTGTCGTCCAAAGGACTCTTCGAGGATAGGCTCGTGGTGAGCCATGATGCCTGCTGCAGCGGACGCTGCTGGTCAGGTTGCACCTTGACCTGTGTCGACTCTTCCAAGGGAGGCTGGGATACTGCTCGCGGATCGATGCAGCGCTTTGGATGCTTATATTCTCGTGGTAAAGCTTGGTTTATTCTGACTGTGTTGCTATCACCGCCAGGTCTGCCTGCATTAAGACCTGAGCCACAGAGTCAAGATATGATATATGAGATATGATAAATGTTGAGATTATAGACTACAGATGGAAATGACCAGATGTATCACCAAACGCACGTTCTACTATACTTAAGTTATATCCTGGAGTTGTCAAGTCTTCACATATAGATCTCATAGTAGTACTGCTGTAGGTGGGCGGCGGGGGCGTTGATGACATATCGGCAATATATCTCCAGTCCCTAACAGTAACCACCACCGCAGCTCACCAAACCACCGCCAACCTCCTTCCATCTCCCTTCGCGTCCTTCACTACGCGACACACACCTCCACCATGTCGACACTCGTGCAAATCAACTCACGCGAGCAATTCAGCTCTCTATTGAGCTCCTCCACCTTTGTTGTCGCCGACTGTGAGCTCCCATCAGCTGTCCCCCACTTTCCCCTCCCCACCACCATCACCACCCATTCACTCGCAACGTCACTCCATCTCCTACACTCAGACAAACCTCACAAAGAGAAGCAAACTAACCCATCGAACCAAACACAGTCTACGCAGATTGGTGCGGACCATGCAAAGCCATCGCCCCCGCATACGAGCAGCTAGCCGGGCAGCTCTCTCGCCCGAACAAGATCACCTTTACGAAGATCAACGTTGACAAGAACCAAGACATCGCAAGACAGTATGGGATCACAGCGTACGTGCCTATGCCACACCCTACAAACCCGACCAAGCAAACTATAATACAGCTACTAACCAGCACTCAAAGAATGCCCACCTTCGTCCTCTTCGAGCGCGGCCGCCCAACCTCCACCGTCCGCGGCGCCAACGCCAAAGAGCTCAACGACCTCGTGCGCAAGCTCGCCACGGAAGCCGAAAAAGCGCCCGAAGGCAACGACGCCGGCTCCAGCAGCGGCGTGGGTTGGATCGGTCTCCCGGCACCCAAGAACTACAGCGACATCTCGGACCAATACGACCCCAAGGGTCTGGAGCTACTGAACCGGGCGAGCGAGTTCGGCACAGCCAAGACACTCTTCGATAGCTCGAAGCCATCCTCCCTGAACAACGCCAAGGGCAAGGCCGGGGCCGCACCGGATTGGGTGGAGAGTGATACGGACGAGCAGTTGATGCTGTTCATCCCGTTCCAGTCTACGCTGAAGGTGCATTCGTTGCAGATTACGTCGCTCCCGCCGTCAGCGGAGGAGGAGGTTGAGGATGAGGACGAGCGGCCGATGCGCCCCCGGACGGTGTCGTTGTATACGAATCGGTCGCATGTGTTGGGATTCGATGAGGCAGATGATATCCCTGCTGTGCAGACGGTTACGATTCAGCCGGAGGACTGGGATCCCAAGACGGGTACGGCCAAGGTGGATTTGCGGTTTGTCAAGTTCCAGAGTGTCACGTCGTTGGTGATTTTCTTTGTGGATGGCGATGGGGATAGTGAGAAGTTGCGGGTTGATCGGGTGCGCATCTTTGGTGAGGCGGGTGAGAAGAGGGAGATGGGTAAGTTGGAGAAGATTGGTGATGAGCCGGGGGAGTAAGCAGCTGAGGACATGCGAGTACATGGAGTAGATATATGATAGCAACGCACTAGAACAGAGCAGAACAGAAACACCATTACATATTACTACTTGTTGAAAGACATTGAAACTCATGACCATAAAAAAATATTCATTCACATCCATAAATCTACGAAATATATTGACCAAGCTCCCACCACAATCTGCACCACACATAACCAGCACAGAAAGCAGCAGGAACACTACAGCCAACAAATCTGTACTAAAATAATCACACCACCACCATAGACACATGCCTAACCACACATCTATAATGATAATAGTGATAAATGAATGTCCGATCCCAAACCAAATGGTCTAATCCTAGTGGGAAAAGAAAACAGAAAGACCAATAAAGTAAGAACCGGTGTGCAATTCCGTTCGTCTGTGACGCAACTGACACCTGGGGTTTGACAACATCACTGAAGAAAAATGATGTCCAGGCAACACGGGTGAAAATAGTTGCGTCGCCGCACGAAGAAAGAAAAGAGAAAAAAAAGATTTCAAATGGGTGAAGGGGTGAGGTTGTATTTATAGGTGTGGCTAGTGGGGAGGGTGGATGATTTGTTGTTCCGGGTTAAGCGAGAAATTTCATCCCAATGGGAATGGGTGGTGGGTGGGTGGGTGATGAGTAAGCGGGTTTGGGGGAAGGTGAAAATTTCGGTGTGGAAGTTTTTCGTGTTCTTCTTCTTCTTTTTCTTTTATACAAATATATCAGGTCGATGATGAGATAATTGGATGTTTTCATATATGATAGGAAGAGACTGACTCCCGTTGATCTGGGAGATTGATCTTAACTTCATCCACTGAGGCCTGTTTTATTTAGGATTTATTTCTTATATCTTGATGTTGATATTTGATATCCTTGTGGTGGTTATATCATTATGGTTAAAGCGTATTTACTTTCTACCTATCGGTGATATTCGTCGGAGGTATAAGATCGTTTGCTTATTGCTATGCTACTCCGGTGCTATGCTAATACTCCGCTTTGCTATTGCATTGCTTGTTGCTTATGCTTACCTTGTTTCTCCTTCTGTCGGCGTGGCTATTTCTTAGTGGTAGTACAGAGTACCCGTGGTACTTTTTTCTCTCCGTCGTGCCCATCTTAGTTCAATCTTTTCGCCGGCTGATTGCGTTCGGATGACAAGGATTCTCATCCGTTTGCGCCTTGCGCCCTGGCCCCAACCCCAGCCCCAGGGCCTATCTACTAGGGTCGGGGTTCAACTGCCATCATCGCCTAGCATGATGCTTGCTCGGTTAAAACCAATCGCGTCCAGGAATACCGGCATACTCCGTACTTACCAACTAAATACGGTGACGGCAGATGCGCCTGCTGCATTGGTTTGGGGGCAAATTGTCGTCGTAAGCCGGAACCTGGTAGTATCGAATTAGTAGTGTGCATGTCAGATTTTTTCTTCTCTCGCGATGGCTGTGTCTGCAGGCTGCAGATGTCCGTGTCCTCGTCGCTAATCAGCGTCACTGCCGATGGATCGTCTGATGCATTAACTGTTTGAGCCACCTTTTTTGGCCCCAACCCGTGAGGACTATGCAACAAGGACCCATGGTTCCATCCCACTCGCACGTTCTGCAGCCTGCACCGCGCCGCGCCCGGGCACCTCTCACGTCAGGACCTTGGGGGCTGATACCACCGGGCAACGAAGAGGTAAAAAAAAAACTCTGGTTCAGCACGGTCCGTGAGGGAGCGGGCTGACCAAGGAAGCTGAACCAGCTGAACGAGCATTGTTCTTTTCGGGATGTTCAGTGCTTACCGCGATCCGCTTGGTCTGACCGAGATCCCACTGCGACCCAAGGAACCACAAGCCTACCTTATCTGAGACGAATTCCCTCACGTAACTATTGTTGTCGTGATTGATTGAGACTGATAGTGGTCAATCCTTGCGCCCGCTCTCCCCCACTCGCAAGGGTGCAATGTGCAGAGGGTAATCCAAGACCTTTTCTGGGCCCTAGGCTGGGGCGGCCGTCGATCATGTTGGGACACTGGTCGACACAGCTACTATCGCACAAATCGCATCACTCTCTCTGTATGGATGCTCATTATCCCGTGCATAGTCACACTGGCGACCCATGAGGCAGAGGGGGCTATTGGGTCGCCGCCGGAAGTATCAGCGTGAGACAGCGCTTTCCGACTGGCAGAAGCTGCCCGGAGTGTGGAGTAGCGCGCCATGGAAGCAATTCCTTCCTGCGATAAAGTTCACCCGAAGGCACCTTGGCCTCGCGCTATTCCGCGCAGGTTTGCCTGCGACCCAGAAATTCGAATTCTTGTATCCATATCTGCATGACTCTGTTATCAATCCCAATTGCTTAGCGATGTCGGCGTGAAAGTTTCCGTGCACAGAGAACCACAAACCTGCTACTTGCCCTTTCGAGGGTTGGTACCTCCAATCGCATCCCAGCGGACGGTGCCGGACCATATGAGTGGGAGACCTACTCCATCAGGCGTGTCGGGTCCGATGTTGCTCTTATCTCAGTTTTCGTCGTGCGGCGGATGCTGTTGTTTTGGATTCTGCTTTCTGGTCCACTCTGACTCGAGAATTGCTGTTCGTGGGATCATCAGTATCACAGGTATACGGTGCACAAAAATAGTAAGTCGGGTGGTTGATGATTCGAGCTTGCTTGCCGTGAGCTCCGAAGGGACCCCAATTCCAGGGCCAAGTTTAATGGCGCACCATTTGCTTCTCCGCATTTTTATTTTCGATAGCCCATGTTGGCGTCTTGGAAGTGGCGATTATGTTTCTCTGGTTAGTAAGAAGAATATAGAGATAGGTAGTATTAGCCTGTCCCGTCGGGAGGGTTCGCACTATTTCTCCGTTCTCAACCTTCGCAAAGAGAGTTTTGTTAGAGACAGACTTTCTCGGGCGAACGGTGAGCTTCCTCTCTGTTTGCGTGATTTCCGTATCTTAATTTCCCCGGTGACGCCATTTCCACTGGAGTCACGGACAATCATCATACTGGGAGCGGCTACGGGACCAAGATCCCAACTGGAGCCCACACGCAAGAGCTCTCCAGGTCCCCAACGCGAGCTGGAACCACGGGTCGGAATACTATCTATATACCCGACTGGGCTAGGCTCGGGACGAATAACCAATGTCCGTGGCCGTTCAGAGCCCATGCCTCCAAAAGCTCCGACGACACGATCCAGGATGGAGTAGCGCTGGGATGGGGTTGAGTAAGAGATACTCATGATTTTCGCCATGGCTGGTGGTGCGAATCAGTCCCTCTCTCCCCGCTGGCATCCATTGGATCACTCCCGGGTTTCTCCACGATTGGAGCAATTCGTAGTCACAGCATAGATACACCCGTGTATGATGCTGTTCAATCAATACACACGTGCAAAATAAAGGTTGGTGGCTTATCAGTGTTGGGCCTAGGTAGTTTGTTTGTCGTATTCAGTGGTCGCTGCGATCGGCCACTTTAGTCCATGATCTTCCCTGCACCAATCCAGGAACAGAACTCAAAGGAGCACGCCACATGGATGTCTTCCCGTCTGCCCGCTGGATTCGACGGTGTTCTGAAGTGCCGAGACGAGCATGCAGTTGTGATTGGAATCAGCACGAGATGGAACAATCACACATAGAAAAAAGGCGCACCTTCCCTAATCGGTATGGACTAATGGGCCTTAGAAGCAGTTGAACACACGTCGAAGTCACTCGTGGATTGGCACGGTTTAAGCTCAGCTAGCAGCCCTGTGGTAGTCTCGGGGTAATGTCTTGGATCCTTGTTGGCTCATGGACCGTAAACAAAGAAAAAAATAATGCGGGATGGTAGCTGCTCATCACTATCACACTTGATGTATCCAAAGACACCCAAATCAGGAATCAAAAGAAAAACGCCCAAAGCTAAAAGAGACATGGAATTCCGACTTGGTTTAGTCCGCAGTGGAACACGCAGTAGTGCAGGCAGTGATGGTGGAAAGTCCCCGCAAAAAGTGCGGTAGCTTCATGCCGGCAATCGAAGACCGACTTGCGCCAGTCCCAGCCCGTCCAGCAGGCACGAGGACCGCTTGGCAACTGGATAGTTAGCAGCTCCGACTAACTCAAATGTTCCCATTACTCAACTCGGTCGGTCGGCATCCATTTCGCCCAAGAGCATGACGAACATCAAGTTCATCTCTGTTGGCGAGTGCATCTTAGGCGAGCATACGTTGCAACCATGGTATACTTACTGCCGAGGATGGAAGTGTTGTGGCGTAGCTGGCATATGGCATGGTCTGACGACGGGGTGGATTCTTCTTCCGAAACGACCCAGAGTCGTGTGTGAAAGAGATCACTCGGAAATATGTTGCAGAGTACTGTGTTTGAACCATAGTTAAATCATAACACCACCCCTCTTCATCATCCTTGGTTCATAGAAGGGCTCGGAAGTCTGCCGGAATCGGAACCATAGACAGAGAAAGAGAGGGTGAGGGTCCTGGATTCTGAGGCCACCACTGTGGCACAAGGTTGGAGACTCGTACGTGGCGGTTGCTATTGCTGAAATCAAGCTCACCCCGTGTCGAGGATTCGAAGGTTCGAAGAAGCCTCTAAAGACTTCGGTTGCATTAGGTAAAGTCACTATGTTCGACGTTAATTGATTGCTATGGAGAAGGTTTGTCTGCTCATGACGTAGCGACCTTCACAGCATTATCCCGTTTAGTCAGGGGCCATTTGATTGGCTTCGGGATGAGGGATGAGGTGAGATCCCTAATGGCGATTTAGGAGAGGTTATCGCCATTTTAGTGTCGTACGGAGAATATACTCCATTCTACTACCAACTAGTGGATGCTGAGAAGTAAAACAGTCGGAGATGGCTTGGCTCTGTCCCCTCCCCCTATCCGGAGGCAACGAAGACTAGTATCTAGTAGTACAGAGTACTACTCCATAGTGCTAGTATAACGCAATGGGTTAGTGCTGTTCAGTCAGAATTCTGGGGACCTGACTAAAACGAAACCGAGACACGCCTAGACAAAGCCAGCTGTGATTGGAGGATTGCTGTCCGCGTAGTGTGTTTCAGATTTCGAGCTTACTGCTTTTACCAAACGCTCGACGTCGGTACGATTTTGTAAGAACAGAGTATTCCACGGAGAGGAGTTTAGTTTGCCGGCGGAATTCCTGTTGGCCGGTTTGGCGTAGTGGTGCCCTAATGGATGGAGAGGTCCATTACCATAGTCCCAGCCACATTAGGTCTAGCCCCATTAGCCACTCTTCCCTCGACTGCTCGTCTTGACTCGTTCCGGAGACAGTCTACTGTGTTCAGTAGTAAAGCTCCAGTTTCCAGCCGGTAGATTAGTAGCAGTCGTAGTATGGAGCAGACACGGAATTGAAGATCTGCTGGTTCTGACTCTGCACGATGCACAGCAGACTCGGTCGCTCGGTGATAGTCTCGCACCCATTTAGTTCTGGAAATTGACAGCGAGGGTAATTTCCAGTCCTGCCTCCCCGTTCCAATTCTCTGGATGGTGTCAAACCCTCATCCACACTAGGCGCTGCACTATTGGTTCGCCTGAACTTTATCGTATCAGTCCACCAAGGCCAGCATGATCTCGAGCGAGCTTAACGGGCAATGCCCATTTTTTGGGTGTTGCATTAATTCCAATTAGATGGCAATGATTTGATCGCTACGTGTGTCGCATCGAAGTCATTTGTTCACGCGATCAACCGTCAATCATTCCCCCCACGGCGGTTGTACAACAACTATATATCAGGCGATCATGGTGCCTGAAGTATATAATCACCTTCCTGCTTGAGAATCGTTCCAGTAATAGTAGTGACTTATCGGCGTCGCATGATGTGCTGCAGTTTCAATGGTTCAGCATATACGCCGTACGGTGAGTACCGGGGAGTAATCAATTGGTAGGATCCGCAATCGGATTCTCCGGCGTGTCTTGTTCAAGGCAGCATCATAAGATATCATGATGGTGTGTCGTGGTCTTGGGCGGCCGGTACCGATAAGGACCACTTCGCTCTCTCACAGGCTCTCTGTCGTTCGCTAGTCTTACCTCCCCATAGATCTTGTGCCACTGTAAAACCAATTGATATCCATCCATAATCTTGGTACATATCTGGGTATCCGATAACCGTTGCTTCCGGTCTCCGCGGAACCTATTGGAATTCGAGGGTAGAATACGGTGCCATATCTGACCCATTGTGATTCGCCTTTTTTTTTTTTCTTCCCTCTGCTCGCCTCCAGTTTCGGATCCAAGCGGCATTGAATCTGTCATGGATTCTCCATTCTGCCACCACCGGATACGCGCAGCCCGGACATCCCACAGTGCTTTGTCCAGCACAACAATTTCCTGACTCTGATTCGCCCGAGAAGAAGGGGGGGCCACGCATCCGAGAAGGGCCTTCGCCAAATTGACACTTCTCGCACGGTCGCAATTGAGACCAGAAATGTTTTTCTTTTTTTTCCCTCACTCGTGAGGACCTGCGTGGCCACCCACACGGGTACCACTGGCGCGGAAGACGGGATTAAGTCCCCTACCGCCCGTCTGTCAGCGCGGATGCGCGCCCATCCCCATTTCGAAACCCACCGCCGACGTCGCAAAGAGGCAAGATGCGCTGCCTTCCGGTGGCGCTCATCTTCACTACTCATCTAAAGTGTCGGTGGCATGCCGAAGCGGCGCCATGATAGATAATGCGAGACAGCCGTCGAGTCTAGATATCTTTCGTAATCTTGCCCTGGTGGAGTCCGGGAGTCGGATGGAGAAGGTGGGAGGAGGTTATGCCTGTCACCGGTGTACGGAGTAAGGTAAACACTGGTGTCGGGAAATGATAGAGTTGTGGGTATAGTGAGGATCATAGACGACCGTCGTCTGGAGTAAGTGTCCTGAAGGACATGCAGGTGCATGATGGGAACGGATTGGATGGGGACACGCTGGTACACCATAGTAGAACAGATGATGCGCCATTCTCATTCCCCCTTCTAGACCAAGACCGCCTTGACAGTGCGAAAGAATAAAAAAAAAATAAAGAAGCTACTTTGGACTATCGCTATCAATTTGTCAACCGCGGGCGATGACGACGGATTTTCATTTACCGCCTCCATTAGCTTATGCAGGTTTGATCCTATCGTTTCCTTTGCGCGATTAGAATCCTACCAGATGGGATCCGCATCGGCTCTTCCTTTGTTGTTGGTTGTGGGTGTGGTTGCGTTGCTATTGCTGCAACGGTTCTTTGTTTGTGGCGACGATTTACTTTGTGGCGACCAACAGGGGTCTTGCTGCATTGCCTCGAAGGGCCAAATAGGACCAGTTACTCCGTAGGAGTACTGGGTATGATTCTAATTAGTGGCATACACTGGACATAAATCCCGGATCTTTGGGGGTGGGCTGCTTCGCTGCTTACACTTCGTGGGTTTCCCAACTCGAGTGAAATCCCCGGCATTGTCAACGGAAGTCCGTAGATAGCTCCCTAGCTAGCTAGTTAGCTGCGATTGTTGACCTACTGTAGTTAGCTAGGCCTGGCCGATGGAATCCCTCTCGCCTTCCACCATAACCCACCCCGCCTCCTTCGGTGTTTGCTGGAAGCGGTACTCCGTCGTAAACAGTGTAGGTCTGCAGAAAAGTAGCGCATAGAAAATTCGAAGAACTGGAGTCTCTTTCCTTCCAAGGAGCTACACTGGAGCTCCGTAGCTTGTGGAGGGTTCTAGTGAGTAGTTGTGTCCCCTAACCAACCTCACTAGACCTTAACTAGGCAGTAGCTGGGACGTAGAACTTGTTTTGGCTTCCTTGGTAAGTTTTCTCGAAGCTCGACGGCTTCCATGCATAGATTAACCCAGTGGACATACTAGCCCGAAGAAGTAAGTCGGCAGTTCTTCCCCCCCTCCTCCCCCTCTTCTTCCTCGTATAGCTTGCTAATTGTTTAACTTACGCCGGTCGTGGCAAGCAATATAGCACGCTTCTAAAGCGTAGGAGAGTTGTTCTAGTCTCGAGACTACGCACTTCTAGTATTTCTAGGCTACGTACTACCGAGAAGCTAGACACACGCCGAGGAACGCAATAGATAGATATTCCCACTTCTCTTAATGTTCCTGAATGCTCCATAGTCATATCCCGATTTCAAATCTTGGTTTTCTGCCTAGCTTTCTTCTCTCTACAGTTAGCTTAGTTATGGTTATGGTATAGTAGTACTCCATAGTTACTGTAGATAGCTTGCGAAGTTGGTGAGTAATATTATTGGCAATGTTACCTTCGCTCGGGGCCCGTCCCGACTCCCGGAAGCTTCGTTCGAAAAAGGAAAAGTGGCCTGGCCAGGGAAATGGACGGCTTTTCTATCTTTAGATCCACACACACAGTCACACACACACACCCCGGGCGGCGGTGCGGTAAATCTGTCCGGGATGGGTTTTACTGCCCATTACCGTATGTATGTTATAAATGTATGCATGTAGTATGTATGTTTGTAAGGAAAAGT